ATTGATGCCACTAACGACATGAAGGCAGTGGTACCTCTATCACTAATACACTCAAAATCAAAACACAATAGTAGATTTTCACAGTTCCCAATGAAGAGGACAAAAACAAACTGTTTTAAAGGAGCAATCTGAGGGAAACAGAGAACGGTTCAGTAGATTCAGCTGGGAATGAGAATAATGACAGTTCAGAGGCAGAAGTCAGATACCAATTCTGAAACTGAAGACGAAGAAAAGAATAAATTGTTGAGTGAAAATGAAAACGCGTATTTAGGCCAAAACACATCCGCAGATGAGAAAGAGGCATCATCAAGCACAAATGAAAACTCTGATGCTGGACAGCATGATCAAGTTGACTCATCCAGCTCTTTGATTCCCCAAGAAGAGAAAGATGCTCTGACTGACTTGGCAACTTTTCCTGATACAGGAGCTGAAGGGAGCAACCATGGAGACGCAGTTACAAAATGATACTCTTACAAGTTGGTAAACCATACAAATTTCGTTTCAGTGCATTATTTTGGTCTTTTAAGAAATAGAAATATTTCGACCTATTTCAAAAAAAAAAAAAAAAAAAAAAAAATTTAAGAACTATTTTTTCAAAATACTGGTTAAAATAAACAAAAACATCTTGAAATATTTGAAAATAATTGCGTAAATGTGTCAAAATATTACGAAAGATATCGAAGTATTATAAAACGACAAAAAAAATAAAATTTTAATTTCATTATTGATTTAGTTTAATTTCCTTAAAAACAGAAACATTTCGACTGTTGTATGAAATGTTAATCATTAGAGTTCGCTCCTTGACCTTTAATATTATCAATGGTTTGTTTGACATTCTTTTTTAATTGGGTAAAAGTCATTTGGATCCCTCAATTTTGTCTTAATGACACAAACACTCCCTCATATTTTATTAATTACAATGAGACCCCTTATCATAAACGGAGTTAACAGAAATTAAGCAATGACAAGAAAACCCCATTTTACTAAATTATAATATTGTCAGTCAAACCACAATGTGTAAAATGACACAAATATATATTTGACTAACAAAACCCTAAAAAATTGAAACCCTTTTACAACCCGTCGTTTGCCACACATAGAGAGATTCAACTTCTCTAGCCTAGAATGGGTCAGCTCTTGTATGTCAAACTCCATATTAAGTGAGAATTGTAGATTCGATTCAAACACTAACTTTCTTTTTTAGAATTAGCCATCGTATGTATTTGAATCTAAGCATGTTCAGAACCCTTGATTTACCCTAGATCTAACCTGACGAATGAAAATTTTTCACGAACGAGTCTAAATCCTTGTAGTCATAGGAATCAGAAGCGACATCTACAAGTTGAAACTAACTCATAACTATTGGAGAATGATGGGCGTTGATTCTCTTGCAGTCATTGGTAAGTATTATGTCTTCTATGCGATGGTTTTTTTCGTTTATGGAATTTTTGGTTTGATGTAAAATTATAGTAGGGTTTTGTTTTTGAAATTTGAATTAATCAGGTTTAAAAAAAATGGGCGAATTTGAGTATGATATAGTTGTTCATAATGGTGATACCGTTGTAACAATTTATGGAATAGACCTAGATGAGTACTGTCATATGGATTTGGTAGCTGATATTGACAAAATATTACTTGGTGGTATACAAAAGAATTTGGTGACATATAAAATCACTGTCAATAGGTCACATGGTGATAGGAGAATGATAGTTGATGATGATAAATGTTTAATAGATGTGTTTAATATGTATCAGAGCAATAGAGAGATACATATTTTTGTTGATTTTGGATACTAGTCTACACTCCCACTTCTAGCTTCAAATGCAACATGGATGCGAATGAAAACAGGAAAGTTGATAATATGGTTGCAAGTGAAAATGAAAACAGGGAGGCTGATAATGTGTAAACAAGTGGTATAAATGCAAAATTTGAGGTTGAAAATGTGAAAACAGGTGTTGTAAATGTTCAGTTTGAGGTTGGAAATGGGAAACTGATATGGGAGATAATGATAAGGAGGGAGATAATTTTTTTTTTTGGGGGGGGGGAGAGAGAGAGAGAGAGTACTGACACAGGTTTTTGAAGTTCTTCACTCAGTGGGTTCCAAAGCTCTTCACGCAGTGGAAATGGAAGTGAGTTTTGCTGTGTTTTTAAAGTGCATTGAGGGATATAATAGTCTTTCTATTATATATTTTTGGGGAAATTTTAATATATAATACTTAATCTTACTACTAAGGGCGAATTTTGGAATTACAAGAGTTTTTTAAGGTGATATCGCCTTTTCCGTTTTAATTATTGACGGCCATGGAACGGAAGGGGTGTCCGTGTAACAAGTTTCAAATTTGAAGGGGTGTCACTGTAATTAATAAAATGTGAAAGGGTGTCTGTGTCATTAAGGCAAAACTCAGGGGTCAGAATGATTTTTACCCTTTTTATTTCACTTAGTTTAGTTGCAAAGGTTTAACTTGCCGATATGTGAACTTTGTTGCTTGCTGGTTGTTGTCTCGTAATGTAAAACCATTGTATGAAAAGTATAATGTCAATTTTGCGCAAAAAAATCAGTTGGAAATTTTAAGAATATTATCTGACCCGTATATAATTGAGGTGTAGCAGGCACAAAAAATATTAATGTACCAAAAATTTCTACTCTTAAAAACGAAACAAAGTAGTGAGCAAGGAGTACCTGGGCTGCTCCCAGATAGGCCTCCATAGAAGATAAGTCTACTGTTGTTCACAACATTTCATTTTTGTTTAAGTCTGTGTTGATGCTGAACATTGTTCGGAAGGATGAATGCTTAAGTCGGTGTTATTAAGCAATCTGTAAGGTCTGTACTTAGTAATAGAGGTTTATCTCTTTACTACAAATGGCGAGTTGATGGGAGAGATTGTAGGGTGTTGGGAAGAGATTTCTTGTTGAATACATCTTTACTTGTCCAAAGTTTCAAGTAAATATTGACTTGGTCCTTCCATCCGATTCTTGTAACTTGATCTTACAGAATGGAGTCACATACTATCGCTTCTTCATAGTGATATGTTTGTCCTGCCTTAAAATCGTTATACCAGCTAGCCAGTATTCAACTCTAACAAGCTTGAAGGTAGCTTGAAATGAGACAGGATCATTCTATGCTGTTTTGACAGTAGAATCCCTCAAAATCAATGTGCCTACAGGGCTGCCAGACCAGATCCTCGGACCAGATGGAATGGAAGAAAGGTCACTAAAGCATAACAATCAGTTCAATGGGCTGTAAGGGTGAACCGAAAAAAAAGGCAAGAGAAAACCCACGTGAGTATTACACTGACACGCCTCAACAGACTGCCAGCTACAAGCTCACAAATTCAGAGATCAGACTTATTAGACAATGTTAGCACTACCCACCGGAAAATTAAGGAGAACTATCATCACCTACCATAGAACCAGGTGTTTGCTAAATTTATTTTGCTGCAAAGCACATAACAAGAAACAACGTGATGGGAAAGGAAACATGCAAATATTTTAACTCCAAATACAGCCTGAAAACAATAGTTTCCTGAAAGCAGGGCCAAAGAAATCATCTCCAAGGTAGTTTTCAGTACTAGATTGATCACATGGGAGAAACAAACTAACAACTGTTATTCCTGAAGTCTCTATGATGTTGACCTCCTTCAAAGATCAGTGTTTCTTCGCCTCAAAAAGGCCATCTGGACCTGCACATCACAGAAGATGCATCAAATGCAAAAATAATGTGCATTAACAAGTATTGATTCTCAGGTAACCATCCAAAGAAAGGATAAATGATGAACATAATAGTGAAAGAATGATGTACTAGTGTATCTCTTATCTTCAGATTGATTTAGATCACATTGACAAGAGATACCATGAACATCCCATATAAAACTCTTTAAGGGGAAAAAAGAATTATGTGTTAGCCCATTGTCAATCCTACTTGGAGTAGATGCCATATATCCAAGCATGAACAGCTCATATTCAATCATGATTGGAAATATATCTATGCACCTCGATGTATGAACCATGCCACCTAGTCTATTATCCACCCACCACCTCAAGAGGGGGGGGGGGGGGGGGGAAGAATTCGTAAGAGCTAATGACATCTCGCATTTGTCTTTAATATCACCAAGTTTTCAATCAGAAACAGGTGGTAAGAGATCCTCAAACACCAAGTGTAGAAACAGGGTTCCCTAATCCCCATCATCCAACAACTCTCCCAAACTTGTTGTGCTTGCTCATTGGAAAGGACCACTGAGCATTGCAACAAATTTATAACACGATACAAGGGTTGCACAGGTACAAGAGTTCCCAACTACTCGAGTTTTATAAACAACTTCACAATATGAACAGGACATGAGCATGTTCTAATCAATATGGTGCTCCATTCAGTTGATTAATGATTATCCCAGCTTAGAAAGCTTGCAACGGAATCCCTACACAAAACAAGTAAAGAAAGGAGAATCTACTATAAGTGTGCTGTCCTCGCCAAACTCTGCACCTAAGTTAATGCTACTAATATGATTCAAGCAACCAGAGCTTATCCTCAGATTAAATTATTCTTGTCCTCGCCAAACTCTACACCTAGTTTATGCTATCAATACAATTCAAGCAACCAGCGCTAATCCTCAGATTAATTTATTCTTGTCCTCGTCAAACTCTACACCTAAGGAAACAACTGCTACTCCCACTTGTGTACTCTCTCAAGAAATTCCCTGTCAAACAATATAGGTCCCGTGTATCAAAACATTTTCAAAATGCATGGAAACACATGGTAATCAGAGTATGTGCGCAATGAAATCGATATTCCTCAGCTACTCTTAGACAACAAGTGTGTAATATTTTTTCACTCTCTTCATAGTTAACAAATATAAATATTTATTCCTCACACATGTCCAACACCCTTTTTTGACATGTTCGACAATTAGGATAATATGACTTGAAACAATGTGGCTCACACTTCTTGAATACTAGTTAACGAGAAATTAATAAAGCTTAGAAATTTGATATATCAAAATCTTAAACCATGAAAAAAATGTATGACTGTTAACACTAAACAACAATCATATTAATGCTTCAGTAAAAATTAGTTAACAAAGCAAAATACGCCAATCTTTAAATAAAAAAAAAAGTGTTTCAGAGTATGAGATGAATTATTATACTCATATATGCTTGCTATACAAAGACTAGATAATGGACAATTGATGATTACTAAGGCAGTAAGGCCCATTAGTCTACCACTCTACTTCACACTATCGTAAATCTAACCAACGAAATGGGGTGCTGCAACCACCTCTACTATGGCTAAACGCTCCAAATAAAAAAAGGTGATTTCCAGAATTTAACACTCTTTGGTGGGGTTAGACCTCAGTCCTCAAAAATCAACAAAAGTTAGTGGAAGCACCTAAGTTAGAACTTGGAGCACAACTAGAAATTTCAATAGAGTTCAGTTTTGAATATCCTTTGGCTGGATCTTACATTTCAATTTTCCAAATGCTATTTTTTTCCCAGAATGTTTCCACAAGGCAGTAAGACAAGGCGGAGTTCCAACTTTTTGATGGTTTTGTCCAAAAAGTTGGGCGTTTCAGCAGCAACGATGTGCCTTTGAAAATATCCTTGAATTTGTTTCTCAACATTGAAAATGAGACAATGTATCCCTAATCCCCACACAACTTGAAGTGTTTCGGGAAATCATGAGCGAGAGACCAGAGATGATATGAAATTGAGGCTTCTGTAAATTTATAGCGTTCTATTTCCAATGTTAGTACAAAAAAATTTCCAACACCTAGTTCAAAATATTAGACTCTACAAACTGAAGCAACAAGCTTACAAATGCCACTGCTCACGTTGTACATGAAAATAAAAGTTATTTGGAAGTTATAATTTCTGAAGGTCTCTGACATCTAAACCTAGGAAAACACTTTGGTCACTATTTAATGGGCATCCAATTCCAATAGCAAGCATTATGCTTCCAACATGGCATAAGGATTTGCAAACTACGGAATGGGTGTGAACTAAAAGATCAAGTACATACACAATATGGTAAAAGTTTCCAGCTCTATAGTTTACATGTAGCACTATCAGTTCATTGAGCAATCTCACAGCATTGCTTTTCCTATACTGAATCATTGATAGGCATGTTTAGAGCTTATTTCAGACATCATACCCACTAAAAGCCAGTAATTAAGGAGAAAAATACCAAGAACGAAATGGCATTAACAAACTGATTCACACAGCAAAAAGTGGCATTAACAAACTAATTCAATAGCATAAAAACGTACCCCATGGAAACTCTTTGTTACGAATGTGCAAATATGGGTACGGCTGCATAAACAATTAAGAAAGTAGACATAATCAGAAATCAGAGTCATGGTTTCTATGAGTAAAACTCCTTAAACTTCACGATACGCACAAACACATATGTATCAACTACACTGTCCAATCTGATCATCTCCATCTCGTGAAAGTATGAATGGAATTACAAGACAGCTCATTAACAATAATGCAATAACTGAAGAAATTTAGGTGGGGCAAAAACAGCTTACAGGAGGTTCTTCATGATGATGATGACCCTTGGACAGTATGAAGATCGCCAGAATAGAACATGTGGCAATGCCGGCATAAGTAATCTTCTCCCACTTTCCCGCCTCATCTGAACACCAGAAAATCCACCACTCAACACATTCGGAAATCAGATCATCTAAGCAAGCATAATCTTGAATCCAAATATGCGTAACACACACACATCGACGTAGAGAGACCACGAAGAGGAAATTCTAAATGTTAAAATTTTCCAATCTTTACGAGAGATATGTGAAACCCTAAATTGCCAATAGCCATCAGATATTTACCCAAAATCAAACGACAATCGGAATCGGATTAACAATCTATGGACTGCTCAGGGACTTCCATTGGAACAAATAAAAATGCTGATTTATAAAGGCATCTATTTCTGTGAGAATACATAAAAGACGAGAAAGCTCTATATTTATTGTTCTTACAGGCATCGTCGTGACGAGCAGAGGCAGAAAATGTTCTCTTGGTAGCAGGAGTTCCCCGTGACCCACCGCGAAGGGCCGTTCGGAGGCCAGATCTCACCATCGCCGTCGCCATTTTCGTTCCCCTCTCTATCTCTCCCCCCTTTTCTGTGTGCGATCGCGTGCGTATATTTACCAGCAGATGTGCTTTAATAAAAACTTGGTTATAAAATTTGGATAAAAATTTAGTTAAAAGTTATTTAAATTATTTTTTTGAACATCTATAAAATAAAGTAAGTTATAATTTAAATTTTAAAATATAAATAAAATAATTTTTACTATTCGCGGTTGAGATCATTTTAAATTTTACTTTAAAATTAATCTAACGAATAATATTAATACTCTAAATTTAATAGAAAAAATAGGTCCTTATGGGTGTATTTGAAATAATTTTTTAAAAGTAATTTTATAAATTATTTTTCATAAATATTTTAAAAAAAAATAATGTTTGAAATCACCCCACCACAATCTCTACCCCCACCACCACCACTGCCACCCCCACCATCGTCGTCGCCACCACCAATGCCATTGTCGCTGCAGCCATTCTCGCCACTCCGGTAATTGCCACCCGCCACTCCGGTCATTGTCATCCACCACAACCATCATTGTTTCCTATCACTATCACTGTCGTCCACCACCTCTCACCCTCACTATAAATTGATACTTAAATTTTTATATTTTTTTTCTATGTTTGTAATTTGATTTTTGATATAAATCATAAATATGTTTATTATTTACCATTTTTTATTACTATGTGCCTTCAAGTACATATATATAACTATTATTTAGATATTACATTACAAATTTATAATAAAAAAATTATTAACAATCTGAACTATGTCTACTTGAGTGATCACATAAAATGTATTCAGTACTAATTAGAGACTAAAATTATATAATTGAAATATTGAGACCAAAATTAGACAAATCTCATACTTTGCAACCTCCAATGTAATTAATCACAATAAAAAATATTCAAATAAACTGCACATATGACCTTAAAATTATGACTTTTGTGTTAATTAAATTCTTGATTTTTTTTTTTTTGGTATTAATTCAGTTATTGAACTCTCTAATTGTGTAAAATGAGTCATTTTGTCTGCATCCGTTAGAGTTTATCACTCATTTGATAATATGACACAAAAAAGATAAAAAGACTTAATTGACAGAATTAAAGAGTTTAGGGACTTGATTGATATATAAAAAAAGTTCAAAGACTTAATTGATATAAAATATTATAGCTTGAGTACTATATGTATAGTTTACTTAAATCAGAGACAAACATAAAAACTCAATTGACATAATTAAAAATATCAAGCATTTAATTAACAAAAGGGTAATATTTTAAAGATTATATATACGTAGTTTACTCAAAATATGCCATGTCTGACTTTGGGTTTAAAATGTTGGGTAAATATCACACATGCCCGACATTTTGACACAAAGTTTTAATTTGGCCCTCAATTTTAAATTTGTCTCAACGAAATTCTTGTGCTATGTAAATCATAACAATTAGCCTCCTTCCAGCTAAAATTTTCAGGACAAACGAAACAACCAAAAAAAGAAGAAGTTAGGATGACAAAATTGAATCAAGTGTCATAGATTTTTTTTCGTCTATTTTAACGAAAATTAGGCACTGCTAGTTAACGTTTACATAGTTTAAAGATTAAATTAAAAAATTAAAAATTAAGAGGAAATCAAAATATAGTTTGGAAACATCAGTGATCCTTAGAAATTTTGAATCCTTTTCCATTAGTGAGGTCTTGCCAAGCGCTAAACAATTTTGAAGAACGCTTATTTAAATTTAAAATTGTGATCATCCTTTGCTTTGGTTCCATTTTTCTATAATATGAGTTTCACAAAAATGAAAATAATACGAGAAATTGTGTGAATTTTGTCTCACTTCACCCCTTGTTTAATGCCAACCCATAAGAGACATCAGTCCTAAAAATGAAAATTGTGTCTTAAGTGCCCTAGACCCATTCAAATACACCGGTCACTATAAAAAAATGGATTTTTTTTTGCATCGGCAGTCGCAAGAAATAGGAAATGCAAAAGTTTTTGCATCAGCAATTAATATTAGCCAAAAAAAAAAGGACCGTCTCAATAAACCCATTTATGACGATTTTTAGCTGTTACCAAAGTTATTATTTGCCATGGCAAAAGGACGATACAAAAAAAATGACATAATTCTTTTAACATTATTACGTCGACAACATGCTGTCGCAGATATATATTTTTTTTAACAAAACTCTTTCTTTTACGGACTCAATAAATTACCTATAACATTATTTGATTGAAATAACTAGGCACATCCCCCAAAACAAAAGCATATAAATTTAAAAATATTTAATCTCCACAAAGAAAAATATTTTTAGTGCAAGTAAATAACATATGACGTTTTGAAACAAAATATCTCAAATTACCTATAAAATGCTCAAAAAGTGTTGCTCCTTCACCTAGGCAATGCCTGTAATTGAAGACAGTCTTTGGTGCAAAAAAATCACCAATTTAAAATGATAAGAATACATTAGAAAAAAATTCAATCCACATTCGAGATAGAGCTAACAGTGTCTTAAGGCACTACAACCCATCCAATGTATGGGCAATGATATTTGTCAATGAAAATACGTTTATAGCCAAATGATAAGTGTTAAAAAAATCTCCTACAAAAAATGCACTCATTACGAATACCATAGGACAAAAAATAAGTTATCAAAAGTCAAATGCACTAAAGCTTTACTCCTTGCCTAGACCAAAAATGTACACTTCAACTGAACTACTTCTTTTGTCGACTGCCGAAAACATTTCTTAACCATGGAACTTACTTGAGATCTAATATTCCAATGCCTTCTAATAATTTGGTCCCTGTGGCATAGGCTTTGTCTATATCCCGCCTCCTTTGCGATAGAATGAGCATACCTTCCAACTAACTATATCAAGTAAAGCTGGAAAATAGAATGTAAGAAAACAAATCGACATCTAGAAATTGGAACTTGCGAAGTGAATCTAAAAGGCACACAATCTAAAATGTGCACCCAAACACTAAAGCTTTTCCCGGTATACATATGACATGGAGGGGGTGAAGTACCCCATTTACCGTTAGGGTTGTACATGGGCCAGATTATCCACAGGTTCTATTATCTGGCCCAAAAAAATATAGACTTGAAATTATATGGTCTTGATAGTTGGTCCGCCCGAGTTCGAGCCTAATATCCTTAAAAAGAGAACTTGAGTTTGCCTCCAAACCCATTATTAGGCCCGAAGCCCAACCTGCCCACCCTTCTTTTGAAAAAAAAGTTATATGTTTAGACCATTAAATTTGAAAGTTGGAATAAGTTTTTCAATGTCAGAATTTGAAGTTTTAAAAATTTAGATATTATAAATAATATATATATATATATTTTTATGTATTAAGCATACAAGTTTTAAAGGGTAAAATAATGCAAATTATAGATAAGTTAATAGGTGTTAACCTAGTTGGGATGTATTCATTTTATTGAATATAATTCATCTCCTAATTAAAAATAAAATTATTCATTAATTTATTTTTATTCATTTTGACTCTACTTTTGATTCAAAAATATAATTTACACAAATATTAAGTTTTAAAAATATTTATTATTTTTAAATAAAGTTGTATATAAAAAAACCTGTGAGCAAGGCTGCCTAACAAGCTCGCCCACAGGCCTGTCCAATAGGCTCGCGGGTTGGATTGCGGGTAGGCTATCCCTACCTCAAACCCGGTCCAACTCAGCCAATAACTCAATTGGATAAGGGGTTAGGCTTACACTATCCAAGCCTGACCCAAAAAATATTTCGCGGGTTTAGCTCGACTCAACCCATGGACCCCTATTTACTGTTAGACCTCAAGCTTAAAACTCATACTCAATCAAAATTAAGACCCATCATTTTGATACGTATAAACTAATTTAAAACGGTGGATACATACGTATAAACTTTGAACACAGATGAACAGATACATACATATATATATACGTAACAAAAAATGAAACAATAATCAAGCATTGTGTAATTAAATCCAAGATTTATTTCAGCCAAACTCATGCTTAGTCTTCTTTTTTTTTTTTTTTGGTAAGTTACTTGGTCAAGTCATTATTATAACAAAAAAAAAAAGTAACTTCCATGTCATACCCAAGAATCATATATAATCCTTCCACATTGGCCCAAGAATCATAAATACACTCGCAACCCCAACTTCCTCTCCCCCAAAGTCATAGTCCAATCCAAATCATTAGAATGCAATTATAGTAGAAGGAAAGAAAGTGAGAGAGATGCTTACAATTATCAAATCTTCAAAACCTAATCCAAATCTTGTAAACTCTAAATCATCTCTAACTTGTCAAGAGAGTTGTGAAGACCTTGTTACATGCCACTCTTGTGGCTTAGTTTGAAAATAGCACCCAACAAAGCATTGAATAAAGAAGTAAATACACATTGCAAATAGTAAATGCCACTTTTTAGTTCCAATAAATGGCGTAATTAATGTAACAATTTAAAAAAATGATGCGAACAGAGGTAGAAAAACAATTAAAAGAAACAATGCGAGCTGATGTAGCTCAACAATATATTGAAAGAATTCGAGCGGAGGTAGATCAACATGTTAAAGAAGAATTAGACCTTATGTAAGCAAAAATTACTTTTTTGGAATCTCAATTGAAAAGTGCATGTGACCCTAGGGTTGCCCGACAAGTGGAGTACAACAAATTCCATTTTGCAGTTTAAAATTTTCAAATTATGTAGATTTCGAATTTGATATGTTATCATGTCTTAGGCTTTAGATTTAATAAGGACGCAACAACAATTTAGGGAATCTGGGGGAGATGAACTTTCACAATGCCAGGAGCAGCCTTACTTGTCATCTCCGTTTATATGACATGTTAATAAAATTTTGTATTAGAATTTATATTCGAGTTACAAAATTAAGAATTTATGAACTTGTACCACCACAAATTTTGATTTTCGTATTTATGTCCAATGACTATATTGGTGCCAAGTATATGTAATACATATTCGTGCCACAGTTGAGAATAAAAGAAAGAGGGTATTATTCGACACGGATTGTTTCAAGGTATGTGTATTTTACATTAAATTGTTTCATCAATG